TTTTGGCTCTCTCCTGAAGATGGGAATCTTAGGGGAGGGTTTCAGCAGAATATTCATCAGTTTTCTAGGCACTCCTAGAAATATTCAGAGATTTTCTTGCCCAGAGATATTCTCAGATGAATATTCTGAGATTTTCTTGCCCAGTAACTATCAGAGCTGATAGGATTAACTACTGTGCCAGTTTACTTTATAAAAGTGGATTTGTTACTTAATCAGAGAAATATCTATGAACTTGCTCACCTGTGAGCTCCAGTGCTGGGCACTGGAAGCATCAAGGTGAATATGGGTGATCCACGAACAGCAGTGTGGTCATTGCTGGGAGGAGGTGAGGGAGGGGTTGGGTGAGACAAATGGTGATGGAAGGGGGCTTGACTTGGGGCGGTGAACACACAGTACAGTGTACAGCTGGTGTGTTATTCAATTGTACACCTGAAACCTGTGTAATTTTGTTAACCAGTGTCACCTCAGTAAGTGAAATAAAAAGGGAAAATAAATTTAAAAAATATGGGTGATCCTTTTTCCCTAGGAACTCATAGCTGCCTTGTGGGTACAAACTAGTCGGCATGCAGTGAGGCAGAATGTGGGGAATACACAAGGTACTAGGGAGCAAGGACAGGGAAACACTGACTGTCTAAAGAGTGAGGCCCGGGGTCCAGCTACAGAGGTGGCATCTGAATCTCAAAGTCTGTGGTTGGGAGTGGTGATTACTGGTATATCTGGAAGCATAAGCTTCAATACATGCATAAGACATTCATTCTTTAATGCTTATCATGTAGAGTAAGTGAAAATAGGGAAATGCAAAAATAATCTGTATTTTTAAAACTTGACAAAAATGCATGTATGCGTTTTAATAAAACACACATAGAGAAAAATGTTTGGTCAGTTATACATAAACATATTATCAGTGGTTACCTCTGAGTGACAGAATTTCAGGTGATTCTTTACGTATTTTTATTGTGGATTATACTTTTATTGTATAAATACATTTTATATTGTGAGGCATAATTTTATTGTGGAAATGTAAATTGGTAAAAGCATTTTAGAAATCTGACATTATCTAATAAATTTAAAAATGTGCAGAATCTTTCATCCATAGGCAATATGCTAAAGAAACCCTTGCACATACATATCAGATTTGTAAAAATGAATGTTCAGGCTAGCATTGATTATAATAGCAAAAATTTGAAACGACATATCCATTTATTTTGTTGTGGGAACTAGTAAAAAGGGTTTTCAATAGGAATGCGGTTGAAAGCTTTCAAAATTGGGTTCTCATTTGTTAGCTGAAAAATAAATATAGGTATTGGAAATAGCCTTAATACCCACTAGTACGGGAATAGTAACATGATATATAATAATTAAATTGTGATACACCTGTAAAATTGAGTACAATATAACTATTTATATATTTACAAGGATTTTTAAATGGAACGTGAAACGCTCATGAAATAATGTGAAATGTAAAGGCAATATGAAAATTATCATGTAACAAATCCATACATAAAATGCTGAAAGAAAATACGCTTAAATGTTAACAATAGTTATTGCTAGTTTGTGGGATTATGAGTGATTTCCTTTATCTTTTACACTCTTTGAGGTGTTGTCTAAATTTTCCAACATAAGAATGTATTGCTTTTTAAAAAAAATAGCTTTATTAAGATATAATTCACATACTGTATCGTGCAACCATTTAGAACATTCTGTGTTCAATTTAAATTACACAATTCAATCTTCCGTTTTGTTCTTTTGTATATTCACAGAGTTGTGCAACCATTACCACAGTCTAATTTCAGGACACTTTCACCATCCCAAAAGAAACTCTGCTCCCGTTAGTAGTCATTCGCGCTCCCTCTCTAGGCAGTCACTAATTTTACTTTCTACCTCTGTAGATTTGCCTATTCTGGATGGCTTATATAAATGAAGCCATACAGTATGTACCTTTTTGTGTTTGGCTTCTTTGGTGCAGTATAGCATTTCAAGGTTCATCCATGTTGTATCATGTATCAGTATTTTGTTTCTTTTTATTGCCAAATAATATTCCACATTTTATGAATTCATTCATCAGTTGGTGGAGTTTATTTCCACTCTTTGGCTATTATGAATGACGCTGATATGAACATCTTTGTACAATTTTTTGTGGATATAAGTCTTCAATTCTTTTGGTAAATACCTTGGAGTAGAATTGTTAGGTCATACGGTAAATTTGCTTAACATTTTGAGGAACTGCCAAACTGTTTCCCAAAGTGGCTGCAGCATATTACATACCAGCAATGTATAAGGTTTCCAGTTTCTCCGCATCTTTGTCAACACTTGCTACTATTATTATTACTTTTTGATTATAGCCATCCTACTGTGTGCGAAGTGGCATCTCATTGTGAATTTTGATTTGTATTTCTCTAATGGCAAACATGAATATCTTTTCTCGTGATTATTGGCCATTTGTATGTCTTCCTTGGAGAAATGTTTATTCAGATGCTTTGCCCACTTTTTAATTATGTTGTGTTTTTATTCAATTGTAAGTGTTCTTTATATATTCTGGATATAAGTCTCCTTATCAGACATATAACTTGCAAGGATTTTCTCCCATTTTCGGGTTGTCCTTTGACTTTCTTGATGGTATCAATTATAACAAAAAACTTTTTAATTTTGATGAAGTCCAATTTATCTAATTTTTTTTGTTACCTGTGCTTTATCTAAGCTTCTAAGAGTTTTATAGTTTTAGCTCTTACATGTAAGTCTATGGTCCATCTTGAGGTAAATTTTGTTTATTGTGGCAGAAAGTAGTCTAATTTCATTCTTTTGTATATGGATATCAAGTTGTCTCAGAACCAATTTTTGAAAAGACAATTCTTTCCCTGTTGAATTGTCTTGACATCCTTGTTGAAACTCAATTGACTTTAAATACAAGGATTTATTTCTGGAGTTTCAATTCTGCTCCATTGATTTGCATGTCTATCCTTAGGCCAGTACTACATTGTCTTGATTAGTGTAGCTTGTGTTGTGAGTGTTGAAATCTGGAAGTGTGGGTTCTTCAACTTGGTTCTTTGTTTTCAAGATAATTTTGGCTATTCTGGGTCCCTTACATTTCCATGCATTGCTTTTATACTCAGAGCGAAAAAGATTTTTAGACTGGAGAGAAAGGCAGATAGATGTTGCTGAAGGAATTGGGAAATCCACTCTGTGTTTTCTGAGTGGTACTATGCAGTACATTCTCTCTCTTGGGCAGGGGAATTTTTCTCTCTTAAATTTTGTCCTGGCCATAGATTTTTTTTTTTTCACTGTTGATGAACAATGTGCAGGGCATAGATTTAGCTAAGGCCTCATTTCCTGCCTTGAATCGCTTAGCGGGGTAAGGGGTTCTTTCCACAAAGAGGCTCCCACAACATCCTAATTTTGGGTTTACTCCTAGTGAAGTATTATCACACTATCATTGTGGTCTATACACTGTATTTTATTGTAATCCCATCATCAAATCTCTTTTGAGTGTGTATTCCTGGATATTCATTTTGAGTATACATATATATGTATATTCATTCATTTGTAAAATACATACGCTTATGACTATTATATATTAAAATATGAACAAAACAGAAATTTTAGAGGATGAGATAAAAATGATTGGAAATAGTTTTCCTACTCTTCATAGGTGTTTATCTGTCTGGAGACAAGTCTCTTAGATCTTTTCTATTGACCTCCTGTGGTTCCAACACTCGTCAAGGGCTGGGTATGTAGCAGAAGCTCAGTCTGCTGCACAAAAGAAAATTTCAGGTATCCTATGTCTATTAAAACACAGTACCTCTATTTATAGGTTTTGCACCCTGTAATAAAGGTTCTACCACCTGCTAGGGTCACTTTATGAGGAAGCTGTGGGCTCCTCATCTCTCCTTGTTTTCTCTTTTATTATTGATTACACCTTTGCTGACTTATTTCTTTGGGAAATAGCATTTATATCATCCTTAACTATACTCTTCATAAAGAAGAGAAAGCAAGCTCTCTTATTTGGGTGTATCATGGGCGGGTGTGAACAAAGGGCAAGGAAACTCTTGGGGGTGAGAGTCAGGGTGGGCTTCAAGAAACTGGATTTTGAAGGGCCAGTGGAAGTTAGCCAAATGGGGAAGAAAAGGAGGAGGTCCCAGCTGAAGCGCAGGAGCAAAGGCAGGAAAATGTTGGTGAACCTAGCACATTGCAAGCTAGGGGAGAGTTTGGTGTAGCTGAACTCAAAGGGCAGGGGCAGTTGCATTTGTGTTTTAAAAGATTCCTTCAGGAGCTCTGTTGGAGTATTGAGTCTTGAGGCTGGAAGTAGGGGAGGCTGTCGGTTGCCAGGAGAATTACAATTAGAGGATAGATACCTCTGGCCTTGGAAGCCCAAGCTGAGGCAGGTAAACTCCTCATACTCTGGCTGAGTTCTTTTTTAGGATCTCAAAGTCCATTTTTAGAGTTTTGTCGATCCAAGGCTGTTGTTGCCCTTTCCCTTTGTTTTCCAAGAAACACATACTTATACCTTCAACGAAAAATCAGTGTATTTCCGGGGGCTTGGTGTGTTCTGTTTCTGGGTTCCTTTGCGGCCTGAGGCCACAGGAAGATGCTGAGATGCATTTGTGTACAGGTTTTGTCAAGCCAGGGCTTGGTTGAAGGCTTCATCCCACCCCCGTCCCAATTAAATCAAACTACCACTCGCAGATGGAGATTCAGACACATCATGAAAATCGCCTTGGGACATCAGGAAACCCGAACCTACAGCCAAGGGCGTGTCGAGGCGGGGCTAGCCACCCAAGTCCACGCCAACGGCCTTTCGGGATCACACCCTTTCCTGGGGAAGGAGTGGGCAGGACAACCCCAGCGCCCTCCTGTAGGGGACCCTGCGCGGGCGGGGTCCGGGCGGCCTCTAGGCGCCAGTGGGCGGGGCCTCCCGATAGGACAATGTCGGTGACGGCGCCGGGCCCCGCCCCTCAAGGCACGGGGGCGGGGTGCGAGGCGAGCGCGCGGGCTGGGCCGGAGCTGGCCTGGGAGCCCGCGGAACCCTGCGCGGCGAGCGGAGCGCCTGGGTGACGGCAGCAGTGGGGCGCGCGATGGCTCCGGCCGGGGACCGTGAGGGCTACTGGGGCCCCACGACCTCCACGCTGGACTGGTGCGAGGAGAACTACGCGGTGACCTGGTACATCGCCGAGTTCTGTGAGTGTGACCTCCGGCCCCGGGCCCCGGGCCCCGGGCTCCGGCCCGAAGCAGACGGGCGGGAGGGAGACAGGGCGCCGGGCTGAGGGGGAGACGCCATGTGAGGAAGGGTGAGGGCGGACCTGGCAGCTAGGGAGGCAGCAGGCCCGGCCGCGGGGAGTGGAGTGGGGGCCCTGGCCGGGACGCAGGAATGGGAAGGCTGCGGATGGAGAGACCGGATAGGAATCTAGGGTGTAGCCGAGGAGCCCCGGGGTCTGTACGGGTTGGGGGAGGGGGCACCTGCTCTTTCTGTTGCTGCCACCACCCTCAGGGCACAGAAGGGAGCAAATCTTCGTTTAGTCTCCCCTCCCCCAGACGTGAAAACTCTAAGGTCTTTGCTTTCCTCTTTCTCTGTTAATATTAGACCTCTTCGTTCACCTCCAGGAAACGGTTGTCCAGTCTCAGATCTCAACCCCCTACCTCCCATTCCCTCCCACCTAGGATATCTTCAAGTATCTGAGCACAACTATTCAACTCTCTCCTTGCACCGAGGGTAGAAGGCAGAGCACCTAGTTAGTCTCTACCTTAAGGCTGGTGCCAGGTTCCCGAGAGCACAAGGGACCAAGTCCCTTCTACTCCGCCTCCTGTCCAACCGCCTAAGGGTAAAGAGTCATCTGAGGATACTGCTATCACTGATTGCACTTCCTTCAGCTGCTGCCCCTGACAGGCACCACTGGCCCCCTGGGGTGGGGGGGGGGGGGTGTGTGTGTGTGTGTGTGTGTGTGTGTGTGTGTGTGTGTGTGTGTGTGTGTTTCCCCACATGATTATTCCTGCCAGGCTGGAGAAGCACAGGAAAAATCTGCCGTTCCTTTTTCTGTGGTTTATTTTGGTCATATTTTTGAGAGCACGATGATACTTCTTCAGGCACCTGTTTCAGGCAAGGTACAGAGAATATTTTTTGGCAATTACTTCCTTTTTATTTGATCCACTTTCTCAGGACGTGGAGCAAACTCTTCTTAGCTAACCTTCCCATTATTGGGTCCTTCTCCCAGACATGTGTGTTGTACTTGTAGAAAAGAGGCAACGGTGTCATACAAGCTGATCTATTTCATTGTTTCCAGTAATTGGCCAAGTTAAAAAAAAAAAAAAAAAAGGTAAACAGAACTCGTGCTGAGGTTTTCAGGACTTTAGTACCATTCCCTTTATACCATGATTTAGGCTGGGATATTTCCTGAACTACTGCTTTAAATTAGTATTTTAAAAATAATGGTGAAAGAATGTAGGCAAAGGAATCATTTGTAGGGTAATTACTAGTAGTTTAAATGTTGGCAAAGGGAGCGCTTTACCAGTTTGTTTGATCATGTTGGCAAGCCCATACCTGGTCCAGAGGAGGTCCATGAGGGAAGGGACTTAAAACCATGCTCTCTGAGCTGGAACTGGAAGAGAAACTCAAGGGTCTTCGAACGTGGGGGTGGGCTGTCATATAGAGTGTTAAACTTAAAAGTATTTCCCTATGATCTGGAATTAGTGACTATTCTTGGAAACCTAACTGTAAGGAGAGAGATTTTGCTTCAACATAAGGCAACTTTATAGCTAAAGATGGGATCTTGGAATGGGTTGACTTGTGAGGTAGACGACTTTTTGACACTGAGTTAAAAGAGACATTGCTCAGCTAACTCATGTGAATATTTTAGGGGGATTTAATTGTTTAGTAGAGAAAAGAGTGGATTGGCTTTAGCTGGCTTTTAGGTTCTTTGCATCTTTCTTGGTCAATATAGGTAATAATGGCTCTTAGTTTAGAACCAAGGGTTAGAATTAAAAGACAACTGACAGTTAAGTCATGTGAACCAGATGCTACTATTCCAACAGAAAGCTCTGAGAAATGGGAAATGGCTTTAGTTCTTATGTCCTCAGAAGAGGAAACTCTGAGTAGACTGCAGGGAGGGTTTTGACATAGGAATCAGGGGTGGCAAGGAGATAATGAGTGAATGTTGGCCACCCTTTGCACGTGGTACCTTGGGAGAAAAAAATGATCTGGAATAAGTTGAGGTCAAGTCTTCTTACCCAGCAAGTGAAAAATATGCTGATTAATAATGATGTTTTTAACGCAAGTGCAACTTTATCATTCTAATATTTAAATTAATGATAGAAACACTGAGGATAGTAATATCTATAATAGCTGTATCTAAGTAGCCCCTATGTACCATACTTTCCTAAGCGCTTCATATGTCTTATCTCTTTTGATCTTGACCATAATTCCAAAGAGAAGGTATTATTATCCTCATTTCACAGATTACAAACCGAAACTCTAAGAAGTAAGGTTGCAAAGAGAGGTGTAGAGGTAGTACTCAAGTTGGGGTCTGACTCCAGAGCTACTATAATATGTTACTTCTATCACATTCATTGTTTTGCCCCTCCATGCAATGGATGAGGACAAGCATGAAATAGTATAGTATCACAAAGGAAAAACTGAATAACTGTTGAATAACTGTTCAAAAAACCTATCTTTCAGCATTAGGGTGTGTGTATTTTGGAGAACATAAAGATGAGTTTGGGGAATTGCATGTTCAGATATGGCAGTGGTTCTTAGTCAGAAGCTATCTTCTTAACATCAGCAAAGTCAGTTCAACTTTGTTTTCTGTTTGAGCAGATTGTAAGGACCAGGGGAAAGGGTAGAGAATTTCTCTTTAGTTGTGAAATAATAAGCACTCTGATGTGCCAGAAGTTATAGGTACAGGTAGTCCTCACTTTGCAACGCATTGTGTAACATAAAAGACAACGTAAATGACCATGCAAGTTAAAACGGGCACAGTGGTCTTAATTAATGGGAAAAGTCATGATTGTTCTGTAACCTTTAAAAATTATTGTCATACATTGTAAACCCATTTTTGTTCATTATAAATATACAGAAAAATGAAAAAGATAGTAAAACTAATATTTATATAGCACATTGAGAATTAAAATGTTTTTGTTTTTTGTAAAAACTTAGAAGTAGTTTGAACAGTGCCTCATTTCTTGTCTTACAACTTGTGATATGGAAGGAGTATTTTTTCTATGCCTTGTTGAATTGTCATATTCCTTTCTAAGTTCGGATCAGCTTCCAACATTTTATTCTTCGCACTTTCCACATTGTGAAATATCTGAGAGTTCCTTTAGCACTGAATCTTTTGCTGGCCTCACTTCTGGTCCATCTTCATACTTTTCTCACAACCATTTTCTTTGTGTAATTTATTTGTGTCAATAAGTGTCCTTCACTAAGTTTCCCTGGCTGTGTATGTAGAGTCTCTCAAACGGCAGTGGGGTCAACGTTGTCATGGTCATCTGTTTCTTCTATCACTCTATGGATGATTGCAGTTTCACTTCTAACATTGTCACTTCTGTTTCTTTGCTGTATTTTCATCATCGCTGGCCTGTTCTGTCTTTTGATTGTTCATTTTTGTAAAATGTCACATACATTCATTGCCAGGAAACAAGGAGGCAACTCAACTACATGCTTTGCTATCTGTACGAGAACTGAAAAACAGATGTGCAGTGACGAATCACCAGCAGGCTTTGCCCTGATGTTTTATCCATAGTTAGCAGTTTAGGCAGAGAGATATTTTTCTCTCAGCACTTTGAAAGTATTATTCCATTGTGTCCTGGCCTTTACTGTTGCTGATGAGAAGTTCTCCAACAGCCTAATTGTTGTTCCCTTGCAGTTTATTTTGTCAAATCCACCAACAGACTTTGAAAGAAGTGATTTGGTTAATCACTAATGGTGATGTGCTTCTATTATTTACATAGTGATTTGTGGACTGAAGGCCTAGTAGCAAAGTTTGTAGTACTGTATTTAATTACTCACAGTTAATGTACTGTGAGTAACTGAAATTTGAATTGTATTGTTCGTGGATTGGTATTAATTAGACTGTGGTAACTGAAATTTGTGCATATTAGTACCTTGCAAAGTGAAGACTGCTTGTGTATTTCTAATCCCCAGAACATTCCTAAGAAGTAATAAGCAGGTGGTACCCTGTCTTAGAGAAGTAACCTGCTCAGTGTCATACAGCTATTAAGTGGCAGAAATGGTATTCAAATACAGGTCTGACAGCTCTTTTTAGCAAGACATGCTGTCTGCAGGAAGTAGAATTGCAGGCAAAGTTGGTTTCATGGAAGAAATATTACCTAAAGGGAAGTGGAAGGCAATGCTATTCTTTAATTATGATCTTCGAGGAGAACTACCTAGTGAAAAAATTTTCAGAATGTTTTGTTTATTCAGCCAATAGTTGTGGAACACCTTTTTTGTAACTGAGTCAGAATACAAAAAAAAACTATGTGAAGACACTGTTCAAGGCAGATAACAGGCTAGTACAAGTGTAAACAGATAAGTTCAAATAGACATTTCCCACTTTCAAGGGAAATGCATTACTAAAAATGTATTTGAAGGAGAATATCCAAGAATTCACATATTATGGAGGGTTTATCAGAAAGCTAAAACATATTTTAAACTTCCTAACTACGGGTTTTATAGGGATTATAAAAGCTAATAGTTGCTGTCCCTTCTCACAGTTTTGCTGCCCCTCTTCCCATCCTTTCCACAGGAATTGGGCAGAAGAAAAGTAGGGCAACCCTCACTCTTTAGACCTTTATTGTGGGATTCATTTAGACAGGGTGAAGGGGCCTTATTTTTTCTTGCCACTGCCACTCAAGACCAGAGAGGCTTCAACGCCCTGTCTCTGCCAGACACATAATGCCATTTAAGGCATCTAGCTGCTAGTAGTTCATTGCTGCCTTTCTTTTTCTTTCTTCTTTTTTTAAGCCCCTCCCCACTATCTTCTCTCTGCCTAAACTGCTAACTAGGGATAAAACATCAGGGCAAAGTCTGTTGGTAATTAGTCACTGCACATCTTATTCAGTTCTTGTTCAGGTAGCAAAGCGTGTAGTTGAGTTGCCGCCTAGTAATTTATTATTTCTTCTACATAAATTGTAATTATCAAAGTATTTACCCCCATTTTAATTAATCAAAGTCACGTGTAACTCAGAGA